TAAATGCCTTTTAGGTTCTTGCTGCTGATTCGAAGTGCATTGAGAATGCTATAAGATGTGGAGGGTTAGCCCCAACAAAGGCTTCTTGTATAAAGAATATGTTGAGTTGCYTGTTTGAGAAGAGAGGGGAGTTATGCTTGGAGTACTTGCGGGACTTGTCAATTGATGAAATAAAGATGGAACTCTCTCGATTCAAGGGGATCGGGCCTAATACGGTATCTTCATATTTTAATGCTATTATTCAAAAATCATTATGTAGATCGCAGGAAGCTCAACTTTAGGACCTCATAACATTCTAAACTTTAACAACACTCTGTAGAGGTAGCTAGAATATTGCTAAAATAACAACTATAATRCCTTATGTTATCTTAGGTTCATTTTATCATCCTAATGAATTGAAATTTCCAACTTAATGAGGACTGAAATCATGAGAATAAGAAATTTAGTTKCGATATGGACYTTCGTCGTGAGGCAGYTGCTTAGTAGTTTGCATAATTGATTTTTATATAGAAATTATTATCGAGTGTGGTTAGCGGTCTAATTGAAGTGGCTGAGAAAGTCGCTCATCATGTGACCAGATCATAATCCCCAATTGGTCAAGAAGTTTTATAATTTTAAATGAATTRCAGGTGGCATGTGTATTGATGTTTAATMTTCAGCAAGATGATTTCCCAGTAGATACACATGTAAGTTGACTCAACTATTTCAAAGAAGCATGGCAATTGGSTTTTTAGCTGACTTTGGGACATCTCTACAGATTTTTCAGATTGCAAAGGCAATTGGTTGGGTGCCCATAGAGGCAGACACTAAGAGGACATATCTTCATCTCAACACAAGGATACCAAATTTTGAGAAGATGTAATGAAGTAAGATCTCTCCGCATTTGATTTTCAGATTTTCATCCGTCTGCTTGTATGTCCATTAAACATRWTATATCGTCCAACTCGCTATTGCTTCCTTAGAGTCATATGCAACATAGTCCGCTCTCCTTCATATGCATAAGAGCTCATTTTATTATAGAGATTTAGCTAAAAGTAACTACTGCAATTTAATTAAGAGTAAATGAATATATGGYTACATTTGAGTTCATGACTGTTGAGCAATACAAGGCTAGAAATATAGCCCATCCAGTGAATTTCTCTTGCTTTTTAAACAAACTWACTCAGACCCCCCCAGCATTTCTTTACATCTTTTGGGGACTCCCCCAACACAAATCAGTTGGAAAAAAGAACAAATTGAATTAAATCCAACTCTGCATGTACAATATTAGCCTATGTTGCAAGCACATGGTACAAATTTCACCCCGCTGTGTGCATTACAGCAGACATATATGGGTTAAAATGTCATTTCTATGTTGGTTGTTTTGCATAAACTTGTTTTTTTTTGTCATCATCAGATGTTTTGTGGCACCTATTCCAGGACAACATTTTATGGTTCCTGCTCCACCTCAGTTCATTCAAGGCGGCRGTTCTGGACAAAATGTCAGGTAAACATCTGATTAAGGTGAATGAATCTAATGATATCTGAAGTCTGCATCATTCATTCATGTTGCTGATAAACAGTCAAAAGAAGAAAAATTAAATAACTTGAAATCTCCATAAATTTGTAAGATGCAGATTCTTGTTTTGCAGGTATCCGTAGATTGCARCAGGACTTAGAGCAGCAGTACTGCTACTTGAGTGGCGGGCTTGGATCTAGCCTTGCAAGTTACTTGTTTTGCATTCTAGAGGTACACAAACACTTGAAAGTCCTTTCATCTCCCACAGTTTTCTATTTTTGGTCATAAATTGCTGAATTTTAACGGCATAGGGAGGTTTATTGGTTAAGCTTGGATAGAACATCTCTTATTAAGAAGTAATAGCCCTTTTGAAATGAAGTCATTGGAACCCTGAAATTTAGACAACAGCACCAGGTTTGTAAAGATGGATATGATGCACTAAGCTAATAGTTTCGAACTAAGATACCAAAATTGTTTCTTGGATTAATGCAACTTAACGAATATGAATCTTGGTTTTCTGATTTAAGGACCTTTGTACTTATTGCTTTGTTTCTGTAAATAAAGATACATTTGACTTTGCATTTTTGCATCTAGGGCTATGTTTGGCAAAACCCTTTTTATAGTCRTAGGCGAAATAAGGTTAGGGGGTGTTTGCTTTATAAAGTAGTATAGATATAGATAATACCGTTTTTGTTTCTATCAATATGTTTTACTTGCATAGGATTATGATCTACATATAATAGTGTCATCTGGGTACCTGCCCAATCCCATGAAATTGCAACAGTTTTTGAAAAGTTTTCATGTGTTAGACTTGCCTTTCTGATTTTTGAAAAGTTGAACTACTGTTGTYCAAATTGTCATTATGTTTATTCATCTAAATTTTGATAAAGATTGTAACGTTTGACCACAGATACTTTAAGAGAAATGTTTGATGATTGAGCAAGTGTTCCAAATACCATTAGACAAAGGGAAATAGGAGAAACTTGTGGGATCAAATCAATATTCATTGGTTCTTTGTAATGATAGCTGTGGCAAGAAACTAATGTGAGATTAGGGACCCACCAAGAACAKAGAAATGGTGAAAAATGTCATTTCTATGTTGGTTGTTTTGCATAAACTTATTTTTTTTTTGTCATTATCAGGTGTTGTGGCACCTATTCCAGGACAACATTTTATGGTTCCTGCTCCACCTCAGTTCATTCAAGGCGACGGTTCTGGACAAAATGTCGGGTAAACATCTGATTAAGGTGAATGAATCTAATGATATCTGAAGTCTGCATCATGCATTCATGCTGCTGATAAATTGCTGAATTTTAACG